CATGATTTGGTTTTGTGGAGTCAACCAAGATAACACACTCTGCCCTCATCCTCTCACCCAAGTGTTTTCTGTGACCTTGTGAGTTACTTTATTTTGAGAAGCAGAAGGAAAGGCATTCTTTTATTATCAGGCGTTTCTAGGCCTTGTTATCTGAGTATACTGAGACTTTGAGCATCAAGACCATGGAGCTGCCTGTGTGGCCACTCTCATTGACCAACCCCTGGCTTGTCACATTTGTCATCAACACTTATGAGCTTCATTATTCAGACCTAAGCCAGCATTCTAAAATACAGTGGCTGAATAAAAGAAATCAGCATATATAAACTTATATCTGCAAGGGCCATGCTGGCAGGCCAGCCTTGTGCTTGGATTAATTGTTGTCTTCATTCTAAGCTGTGAGCTCAATCTAATGGCCTAGGTTTATAACTTTATATTTCTGTGTGTCTGTGTTATATTCTTAAAACATGTTTGGAGCCTCTGTAGTTTATGACCTCATTAGATTGAGAATAGACACAGACATAGTTCACTTATCACGAATAGATACCACATACCACTCATTTTTTGGCCTTGACATTCCATAAAAGAGAAAAGAGGTGAGTTGCAGCCAAAGATTATATATCGTTGGAGGTCTTATTCTCATAGCAGGTCTCCAGACCAGCAGGATATGACCAGGGAGCTTGTCAGAAATGCAGACTCCCAGGCCTGCATTTTCACCAGGTCCCTCGGCCATCCTTTACATCAGTCATTTGATGCCATTTTGAATTAAAAAGTAAATATGCAGTCCCCACAGCTTTGCTTTCTGGATGAGCCAGTCCTTTTTTCATGATCTGTACACCTTTAAAAATTAGCCACAGAATTTTCCAGGCACAACTCTAGTAGTTATCTGGGTATACTTAAGAAGTAATTTGTTCGTGATGCTAACCACTAATTTTTAAACTTTTTTTTTTTTTTTAAGGTACGAGGCTATCCCACATTATTGCTTTTCCGAGGAGGGAAGAAAGTCAGTGAGCACAGTGGAGGTAGAGACCTTGAATCGTTACACCGCTTTGTCTTGGGCCAGGCCAAAGATGAGCTATAGAAACCCAGGTGGAAGTGGCCTCTCCGGCCTGGCCTCCTGCACCCAGCGTGTAGGGGTTAAATCACACGGACATCGCTGAATTTCAGATGGTGGTTGTTTAGAAAGCTGAATGTACTCAACTTGTGGTATCTTTGTGTGTGTGTTAAGCCAGCACACCCTACGGATTCCTTACTAAGTTTCTCTAAGTAAATGTGTAACTCATGGTCACTATGTAAACTAAACATTTTCAGTGGCGATGCGTCCCCTTGAACCTTCTCTAGATGAATTTTAAATGGTTTCCTTTGAGATGAAAATAGAGTTGAGAAAAATCAAATTGCTGGACTATTTTTGGCTCCTGAATGATTTGGGGGGAAAGCATCATTCAAAATAACAGGTTTTTTTTTAACTGCCCACAAGTTCTGGAAAGGTGGCTTTGGGACAGTATTGACATTCCTCTAATGTGAAGGTCACAACTGACTTAATAATGTGGTTGATCCGTAGCTTGGAACAGATTTAAAATGAAAAGCCCCATCTGGAAGATACTTTGACATCCACTACTGGATTTTTTGTTTCTGTTAAGTCTTCTCTCATCGGGAGAGGTTAGCCATAATGAAAGCAGCGGTACTTTTGACATGTGCCTGAGTAAGATAATGCTGATGCCATAATTGTATGTGTGTGTTAATACTTGTCAAATCAGTTGTTACCGTTCAAGGGATACTTTTGTTTGTTTTTCACGGGGTGAAAGATTTTGTTAGTTCATCGTGTCAACACGAAGCCTGAGTCCGTGTGAACTTTAAGCTTTCATGTCTTCCATGGAAAGTGTAGGCATGGCAAGTCCCACAAGGCTCCTGCCTACTCCATTAACTCATAGATAGATTCTGCTTGTATTTGCCACCTGAGGTGACAGGACCAGACGGGCTTCCCCAGGCCTGGCTATCCAGACACCAGGGAGACCCTGCAGCCCCGATCCTAAGTAGTCCTAGAGGCTGTACTTCGTCCGCCTTCAAGGAGGTCGACCTTCTAATGTACGAAGAGTGGGATGCATTTGATGTCAAGACCAAAGACAGATGTCAGCAGGACTGCTCTGGCTCTGGTGTGCATGGCTGTGTCAGCCATCGAGGCAGCGTCCTCTAACTCCTGCCACCCTCGTGATTAAACACCTTTACCATGACCCTTGGGAATAAGCAAGGGTAGGGCTGTATCTGTCCCACGGAGTTATTTCCCGTAATCATTCTGTGTCCAGTGCCCTTCACCTGCTTTCCCATGCCAGGGGGATGTTGACACCGGGCCCATAGTAACTAGTGGTAGGAACCTTAGAAACAAGACCACTTAGACCAACTGAGGCAGAAGATAACAGAGCAGCATCTCGACCAACCTCTGCCTTAAAGGAAATCTTTATTAATCTCGTGTGATTCACAGATGTTCTTTAACACAAAAAACCCCAACTTCTAGAGAAGCACAGTCATCATGAGTGTCGCTTCAGCTTTGCATCTTGAGTCTTGTATTCAGAGAAACTCAAAGTGGTACAATTTGTTTACACTATGATACTTTCTAAATAAACTCTTTTTTTAAAAGTCTGGTCTTTCCTTCAATGTTACATTAAAACAGATATAAAATAGACAATAAATTATAGTTTATATTTACAAAAAAAAAAGCTGTAAGTGCAAACAGTTATAGATTATAAATGTATTATTTAATCAGTTTAGTATGAAATTGGTTTTCCCAGTACATGATTGTGAAAAAGACATTTAAAAAACATTCTTACATTTTATCTGAGTCTTAACTTTCTACGACAGAAAATTGTGATTTTGTTTCATCAACAGGATGGTCATCTCCCCAAACCAAATCTGAAAGACTGGGCACCCCCTTGTCTTATTTCCCTGTTGGTTCAAACCCTGTGACGTGGTACGTTGTAGAGCAAAAAGGCAAAGAACCGTTTTACTGAAGCAGACGAGATAGTAGAGCCATCGTTTCTGAAGTGAATGTGTTTGCCAAAGAGCCACTCCAGGACAGAGGACGGTGCAGAATTCCTTCCCATGGGGTTAAAAGGAGGGTGATTACAAATGCCTCTCATCCCGTGCAGCCCCGCCTCAAAGTACGACAAGTCTACTTTTGGTATAGCAAAGAATATAGACAATGGGAAGACTGAGGTGTGGAAATGATATGGTTCATTTCAACTGAAATCAGCACATTTATTTTCACACCAACATAATACTCCAGCACAAGTAGCAATAATTGAGACAAAAGGCACCTCCATAGAGGCCTGGCTACAGCCCTAGGCTGTCGAGCCCTTGTGAAATTGACCTTCCTGGGAAAAAAGTCTAAATACAGGCATCCTCCCACCAGTTTTGGAAACCTGTATAGCCTACCTTTGATAGACAGTGCCAGCGGATACTTTAGCCAGGAATACTTTTACCCCTTTGAGATTTTCCCTGTTTACTTACTAACACCCCCCAAATAACTTGCTGTATAATTAAAACTAATTTTGATGGGGGGGTTGTTTGGGGGGAGGGGAGGGCCTTCAAGGTTATGTTTTTGCAGTTACCGGACCTTACACTATAGACATTCAAAGTCAGGTTCCTATAGACCAGCAACTACTCAGGTTTACAAAGTGAGCAAATTATTAACAAGGTCCTTTAAAATCTCCCTTAGGCAGTAAGGCACCGGCATGAGATGGTTTCAAAGTCTTATCATCCCACTTAACTGTTTCTGTGTGTTTTTAAGGCAGATGTGATGTAGGAATCCAAGGTAGAACAGGTGTCCCCTGCCGCTGGTTTCGAGTCAGTGGCATCCACAAGCTCTTACAACCATATTCCTGTATTTTTTCAAGATGACGTTGGAGTTATCATCAAAGTAAAGAACTGAGATGGCATTTAGTTTGGTTGGTGCACAGCATGGTTTGGGGACATACTCAGGATTCATAAGGTGAACCTGTTCCAAAACAGGAGAGAAAAGGTACCGTTAGAAAAGACTTGGACTCAGCTTGAGCCTACGTATCAAATGGAAAGTCCCAGAGCTCACCACTGTGTATCAAATGAAAAGTCTCAGAGCTCACCAAGGTCTGCACGATGGCATGGTTGGTTGCATTCATGTGTGCATTGAGCGGGAAGGAGCATTCTCCATCACAGTAATTGGCAGCGTAGCCCTTGGGTGCGATGATCCAGTCCTTAATTTAAAGCAAAAGGAAGGAACAAAAGATTAATACACACGTCTCCCACCATCTGTGTTCTCAGTAATGGTGTGAGAAGGCATTATTCACTTTGGACAGGCAAGGAGACAGTACAGAGAAACTAAGGAAAATGTCCAAGTTCACATTCAAGTGGCAAAAATGGTAGGTGACCCTGCTGGATCTTATTGCACAGCCCTTGCTCCTCTCACAGGCCCATGTGGTCTCAGCGGCTATTTGCCCATTAGGCCTGGGAATGTGCTACTGGCTGGCTCTATGCATTCGGACCCAAAGGAGTCTGTCCCAGAGTTTGTGGTGCTCCTGCCGAATGAATGCTGCGTGAATATGGAAACCATCTTCTGTCACTCGTCACCTAAATTTGCTGCTTTTCTTAGAACCTAGTGGTAACTCTCAGGTATGGGGCAAAACAACTGTGTTCTCCTGGATAACTTGGGTGACCCAATTTATAGCCATTGGAAAAGTCAACCTTAGTTATTTTTTCTAGCCCTTTTCAAAACACAATTAAAATTTGTTTAAATGCCCAAATGAATATGTCCTACAGTCTCTGAAAGTATGAGAAAATATGGCTACTGATGTCTAGAGATCATGGAGCTTAGTAACCCTGGAAAGGGGTCAGTGGGCACCTGGTGCACAGCAGGAGGCTGGGCCTTCCCCTGCCTCACCCTCGGAGCCTCGGTGCATCCACAAAAGAGTCATCTCAGCCCTAAAGCTCTATGTTTTGGTGGCAGCTGCTGCTGTTAAGATGAGAAAAGCTGCTGATGAAGGATCTTTGTTCCCCTTGTCCAGAGGACTCACCTGCCACCCCAGGTCTTGGAAGCTTACATAAAGCTCATGCTTCCGGCAGGCTGTTTTCAGCTCACTGCTGTTGTAATCTGTTGGAGGAGAGCAAAAGATGTACTCATTAGCTCATTCATTTCTCTCCTTTTTTTTGAGATGGAGACTATGTCACCCTTGGTATAGTGCTGTGGCATCACAGCTCACAGCAATCTCAACCTCTTGGGCTTAAGAGATTCTCTTGCCTCAGCCTCCCAAGTAGCTGGGACTACAGGTGCCCACCACAACACCTGGCTATTTTTGTGTTGCAGTTGGGGTATAGCTGGCGCAGGCTAGGTTTGAACCCACCAGCTTTGGTGCATGTGGCCAGCGCCCTAACCACTGTGCTACGGGTGCCAAGCCAGTTCATTCATTTCTTCATCTGAACACTTATAGGGAGGGTTTGCCACATGCCAGGCACCATGAGAACCTCGTAAATGAGATTTTGGTCACCGAGCAGCTCCATCAGGTACCTGATGATTTGTCCATTCTGGGGTCTACTGGGCATGTGTGAGCTCAAATGGAGACCTTTGAGCAGCAGAGGGTCCTGGGGTGAGACCTGCAAGGCCTATAGAGGACGGCTCAGGACACCTCTTAGGGCCATGAGTTGGAAGTCATCACATTTGCACAATCAGATGATGGTACCAGCAGGACTTGATATATTTCAAACAGGGACCTTCTTGAAGTTCCACAGGAGCTTTCAAGGTAGCTGCTAGGCCAGGAGAATATTCTGAAAATAATGGACTGTGAGCAGGGCCCACGCAGGATGCCTGGGAATGGCGGAGGAGAGTTGGATGCAGGAGTCACAAGACTCCAGAGACTGTAGGTAAGAGCAGGCTCTACATGAGGCTGTATAGGAAGATATCTAAATTAATTGAAAAGATAAAAGAACTAGAAACCCCAAAACAAGAATATTTAAGGGGAAGAGAAGAAAGAACAGGTAGTTGTGGAAAAGAACACTGGTTGTTTAACAAATTAAACAGATTATTTAAACATCATGTTAGACATAAATGTAGATATAACTGAAAAAAGAATTAAAGAATTGAACAATATATTTGAAGAAACCTCTTCAAATATAGCAGAGTCAAATGGCCAGAAAATAGGATTATCTCTCAGTAAAGAGACATGGAAGATAGAATGAAAAGTCCAACGTATTTCTAAATAGGAATTTCTGATGACAGCAATAGGGGGAAGTAATGTATTTGATGAGTAATGGCTGGGGATTTTCCAGAACTGAAGAAAGGCAAATACCTTTAAACTGCAAAGGCACCAGTAGTCCTGAATAGACCAAATAAATTCCTATCCAGGCACATTTGGTGAAACTGTAGTGTTTCAAACACACAGAGAAATTCTTAAAAAGCATCCTAGAGATAAAAAGAAAATTACCTACAAAGGAACGAAAAGTAGATGGATGGTAAACTTGTTAATGACAAAAATACACATTGGAAAATTAAATACAATAGAACCTCTATAACAGCAATTCTTTTTTTTTTTTTTTTTTT